GATGGAGGACCAGCATCTGAGAAATATAACAGTATATTAGCATAACCACATATGCAAAATACATAGAACCACTGCCACAGTTAACTTGTCATTGAATGATTAAATAAATATGAATTCATAATTAGAAAAATCCACACTGCAATTTATTGACTTTCCTGAATGTTCTGGTTCATTAAAAGTTGATTACTAAACAGTGACCTCTAGTGGCCCATAATTTTCTAATTCTCAATGTTTCTCATAAGAGTCAGCATAGATTCCAAGAACCTATTCGTCCTAAATAAGGTTGTTACTTTGAAGATGTTAATATTCCTTTTCCCTAAAAGAGAAATATTTACTTTATCTTCTCTCCTTAAAATACATTCTGTGTGACAAATACAAAGTGCTAAAAAAGCTCTCCTGCTTTGGTCCAAGTATCACAAATTCATTAACAAATCGTTACTGAGAAAATATCTGTAATACCTTGAGCTGGGTGTTTGGGTTATTTCATTAATACCTGGAAACTGACTTTACTCATTTTATACTATGCAACCAGAAACAAAGTCAACATTAATACAGTAGTCATGTTACTAACTCTTCAATGCCTATACACACATTTGAGATGCTGAAAACACATTTTAATTTAAAATTCAAGGAGAGTAGTGACTTCAGATTCACTGCATGCTGAACTACTGAGGTTTATCTTAAAATGCAATTGATTAGCAACTATAAAGAAAAATCTAGCTCATTTCTTAAATTTTTCTTAAAGAAGAGGTTTTTGTAACAAAGATGCTCCTCAAGAAACCTACTTCTACAGCACATAAGTGAACTTTCCAAGCATCATCTCTCCCTTAAAATGAATGTATCTTTTAAAAATATCCCAACTTGCAAATCTCTAAAGCTTTTATTACTTGCTACCCAAGTACATTCATTATTAAAACAAGGTTTCAGAAAGGTTCACAATATGAAGAGAAGACTTTGGGTACGTTATTAAAAGAATTCTATTAATAGACACATATAACTATATATAAAAATAGATAAACAACAAGGACCTACTGTATAGCACAGGGAATTATATTCAATTTCTTGTTATAACATATGATGGAAAAGAATCTGAAAAGAAAAAATATATATGTATAACTGAATCACTTTGCTGAACACCCGAAACTAAGACTGTAAATCAACTACACTTCAATAAAAAAATTTTTTTTTAATCTACATCCCTTCATCCCCCAAATCAAAGTACTGATCCTGGTTCTCTCAAGTAGTGGCAATGCTGTAGCTTCCTTAGAGATTGTGATTAAGCCTCCAATACTTAAGATGTAAACAAAAGAAATATATCCTTCCTCATGTAATATTTCTGCAGAACACACGGGTGTGGGGCACCGGTTGTTTTCCATGATGATTTAATATAGTAGCTGGATAATGAGTTGTACCTTCTGCAACAACCGAATCACCATTTAATGCTATTATCAACAGTTCATGACCCACCAGCAAGAAATGTCAACCTGATTAATCTAAACACTGCTGACCTAACAAAAAAAAAAAAAAAAAAGAAAAGAAAAAACTCACTCCTCGCTGTTATTAACATTTACTGTTCTTTAGTATGAAAATACAAAAAACAAATCTTTAAATAAAAACAATATTTTTAGAAAATTTGGTATGCAAATTTTGCTTTGTAAAAGGTGGTAGGGTTCTGGAAAGGTACAGCAGAAAACAACACTTAAATATAAACATTTGTAACAACTGTGGGAAACATTTTTTGGAGACAACTGATTTTATAAGTTCAATATATTATTTTAAATAATTGCTTTATTTACTTAAACAGACAGCATTACAAACCAGGATTGGGGTAAGATGTCATTCTGGTTATGAAGTTCACTTTTAAACTCTTACTTCTCATACACAAGTTTCAAAATTAACCAGAAAAAGGCTCAGAAAAACCTAAAAATACAGATGTTTGAATACAGATTTGGATACAGATTTGTCCTATTTCCTTCCATGAGCATAAGAGATAAGAGTGTTGGTATGAAATATTCATTTCTTTGGTATAATTGTAGTATATCCACTTGCAATTCAGCCTGTGTTTTACACAATGAACATTTTTGATGGGATGTAAACCTGAAAGCCTCGCATTTCAGAAGACTTTATTTAATGCTGCTGTTTTAAAGCTTCTATGAAGTAATAGAAAAGCACACACCCTACCATCAGGTTTCAGAAAGGCTCATTAGATCACAAATTGGACAGCTAATTTTTGCTTTAAAAAAAGAAAAAAACACTTTCTTCATTTTAATATACCAGGTTTTTAGTATCTACAAAAATAGAATTCAATTGCTATTCCTTTTTGTACCTAGCTGAGAGTCTGAGACTCTAAAAAAAGCAACTGAGAACAGGCAGAAAAAGTCAAGATTCTCTATAAATAAATCAGGCTTTGTATGGTAACCAGAAAGGCTCAACCTCAAACCAATAAGGAAACAATGAGACAAATCCAGAATGAGAAAAATTCCGTATGATGACTGATGGAAAGGGTTTTTTAAAGGAAGACTATAAGAACTGCTCTAGACTAAAAAGACTGATGAAACATGGCAACCAACGTAATGCAGGACACTTTATTAGACAGTGGATCACAGCAAAGGAAAAATCTAGTTATTTGGGTGCAACTGAGAAACTCTGAATATGGGCTATACATTAGATGGCACTGAATCGATGTCAAACTTCTTGGGTGTGACAGCAGTCTTGGAGTTATACAGGAGAACGTCCCTGCTCTCAGAAGATTTATGCTAGCAGTTTTTAGATGGGAGTGAATGCTTCAGCCAAAAAGAACAAAGTATGAGGGGGAGGAGGACAGAACCTACAAATTGAAATTAAAAATAGAAAAGTTAAATGGCAGAGTACTGATCAACATACAAATGGAATCTGTATGTACTTACTATTTAGAAATGTTTCATGGATTCTATTTTTTACTTTCAAAGAGGCAAGAGGTGAAGGAGGAAAAATTCTGACCTAAAGACCAATTAAGGTAAATACTTGCATCCTGGTTTACAAAAGATACTTTGCTAAAGCATCTGAGTCAAATTTCTATAAATGGAGTAATTCTTCATTAATTTACATTATTATATTGCTGAGTTACTCTGTACCTCCAATTCCACAATCAGGTTTCCATGTGTGCTCTCTGTCCCTAATAGCTCTGAGTCTGCCCTGGCTTCCCAAGTAAATGACTAACCACACTAATGGTGTTTGTTCTAGGCTCTCTACCAGGGCATAGCATATAGAAATTACTTAGCTGAGATCCATTTTAGGGTTGTTTTACAAATAAAACTTCAACCACCAAAAAAAGAGGTTAGAATCTTTATCCTAATACTGTTTGACTCACATCAGGAAGAAAGCAGGGCTGAGGGACTGTTTCTGTAACATATTGCCATGCTATTGAGTTACAGCCCATTAAAATCCATAATGTTTACTTCTATACTAAATCACACGCATGTACATTGCACATATACGTTTTCAAAATACACAGGAGTCTGAATAGCCTCATTTCTATAAATTAGGATTTAGAGAAAAGAGATATAGAACCAAAGTAAAATGTATGTGGCTGTTTTTCTTATGACTCTTCATGAAACAGAAAAAAAATAAACACTCTCCCTCTGATTTTAACAAAAGAAGGCAATCAATTAGATGAAGACCATAACTGGCCAACATGTCATCCATTTACTCCAACCATGTTCATCTCAAGGGCAAGTGAAAGGCAAAACAGTTGGATTTGACCAGGGTTGGGTCAATATCAACAGAGGGAAAAGAGGAGCAAGGCAGCTGATTGCGTGTAATCATGTACCATGGAACATACACTGAAGAGAAAAAGAAGTGAGGACTGGAGGAGGGCGGGGATAAAGAACAGGCTGTGTTACTATTCTGCTTCCGTCCTACCTCCATCAGGCATGGCTGGTAACTGTACTGCTTATCTTCCCAACATTTGAAATTCCCTTCTTTAAAAATTACTCAATTCTTTTTCTTTTACAAAAAGGTAAATTCCTTGAATACTACTGTTCAGGAATGACCAAGTACAGCCCATAATCTCAGTCTCTTTCACAGTTCAGAAGAATTTAGTACTTGCAGGTCTTCCAGTATTTAAAGACCAAGACACAGAATATCATTTTTCCATTCTTACCAAAAAGAAAAGATTCTATTGTAAGAAACCTGGAAAGAAGAGACCAATCCAAATAGATTTGGTTTCGTGCGGTTTCTTTGACAGAGGCAGATTCTCTAGGACAAATATTGTACTTGATTTTGTCCTCAGCTTTAAAGTGAAGCATATATACATGGGAGACGATAAAAGATGTGTGCTTGTTTTTTTTCCCTCCTTGGATATCATTAGTATTTGAGATTACTGCTTTGACCCAGGATGCAGAGTCTCTTATGAACAAACTATCACTTGACTATCTATCTGTTCCTCCGTTGGTAAGGAAATCTATGCTTTTTTACTCTCCTTGAAACATCACTGTATGCTTCACAAGTCCACAGTTCCTTCCCTACCATTCTGTTCTACAAAAACCTCTAAGAGCAAAAGGTTTTTCTTCACTCATTTGACAGCAAAACTGATGTGAGGTTACTTACATATTTACAGTATTCATTTATTATGCTTGGTGTGAATATTCACATATTTCACTGCAGAAATAATTAATATGTTTGATTATAGAGGGTGGCTCTGGACTCTGTTAGGGATGTTACATAATATATGGTGTGTGTGTGTGTGTGTGTGTGTGTGTGTGTGTGTGGTATTATCTTTTATTAAAAGAAAAAAACTCACATGGCTCCGAAAGTTTCAAGTAAGAGATTATGAATTCACAATGATTTTTTTTTCTTTTCCAGTTTTATAACCAGGAACCCAAACTTCTGACTTGACCACAGAATTATAATAAATCATTTCCATTTACTCAGTGATTATGATGTACCAATAACTGTGTTTTACCTATTTTTTCTCTCATTTATTTATTTATTGCATATATAGTTTTATTGAAATATAGTCAAAAAATATGGAACGCTTCAGGAATTTTTGCATGTCATCCTTGTGCAGGGGCCATGCTAATCTTCTCTGTCTCATTCCAATTTCAGTATATGTGCTGCTGAAGTGAGCACATTGTCTAGGTCATTTTAATTTAATTGAACACTGGGGAATGAGTCTTTAAGACCCACAGATCTAGAAGTTTATCAACATCAATCCAGGCTTTTCCCCCGCAGAGTAAGGAGCTAGGCTAGCTGTTCCTTGTGTTCATCTGGCAGTTTTCATTTCTCTTAGAGGTAACATATTATAAGGTTAAAAGCAGAAACCTTACAGTCAGCCAGACTAGTGTTTGAATTTATTCCACCTCCAAAATGACTAAGAACATGTTCCATAACTTCTTTGTTCAACCATTCCTACATCAGTGAAATGGAGGTGACGACAGTCCTTACCTCACGGGGTGGTTGGGAACATCAGATGTGACAGTGTCTGTAAAGCACCCAGCTCTGACTGAGGACTTACTATGTAATGGCAGCTCATTAAATACTAGTTTCCCTTACCTATCTTTACCAAAAGGCATGTGCATGATGCTGTCTACTTTCTGTATTACAGCTATTAGTCCACAAATTTTTCTTTCACAGAAATAAGATGATAGTCACCTGATAATCCTCTTCCTGTTTTCAAAGGATCCTTCTTTTGACCTCAAGGGAAGATTTACTAGTCACTGAATGTCACAAATACACTGCTAGTGTACAGAATTTTAGAGCTCAGAGAAATGATAGAGGGAAGTAAATATATGGAACAACTATCATATGCCAGGTATTACCTCCTCACTTCATTCTTTCAGTCAGACCGAGAGGTAGTTATTGTCCTGATTTTTAAAATAAGGGGGAAGCAATTATCTCATTTTTTTTTTACTTTTTATGTTATTTATTTTTATTTTGGGGGAGGTAATTAGGTTTATTAATTTATTTTAACGGACATACTGGGGATTGAACCCAGGACCTCATAGTTGCTCAGCACACACTCTACTGCCGAGCTACACCCTCCCCCCTAGAAACAATTATCTCATGATGCAGCCTAACATTCCTACAACTTTTTTAGAACTTCTTCTACCTTCTTTTCCCAGAGAAAACTGCTTAATACCTTAGTGTCAGAGTATAAATTTGAAATAAACATATTATATAATAATTTAAAAAAATAGAATCTTACTGTATATACTGTTTTATAACCTGCTTTTCTTACCTAAAAAGCACTGTAGATATTTTTCATGTCAAATATTTAACATTTTGACTCTTATATAATTTAATTAGCTCCCTCCAACTGGACATCTGGGTTATTTCCAAGTAATCATTACTCAGTGGTTTTTAACCTTTCTTAAATACTATTGAGGACCCCAAAGTTTTTGCTTATGTGGATTATGTCTACCAGTATTTACTATATTAGAAAATAAAACTGAGAAAAATTTTAAAATATTTATTTCTTAATTCACCTAAAAATAACAATGATAAACCCATTACATGTTAACCTATTTTTATGAAAAAATAACAAGACTTTCTAAAGAAAAAAACTTTAGTGAGAAGAGTTGCACTGTTTCACAATTTTGCAAACCTCTTTAAATCTGGCTTAGTAAAAAGCAGCTGGATTTTCACATCAAGTTGAATGTAGAAGTAGATACACATTGTTTTGGTGTAAGTATATAAAGAAAAGCTGGCTTCATATGGATATGTAGTTGAAAAAGGGAGGAGTATTTTAAGAACCTTTTCAGATAATTGTGACATTAACCAACAGTTTGACAAAAGGTAGTTTATTAAAGGCCAGTTGTATTGAAGCAACTTAAATGTCCATCGACAGATGACTGGACAAAGAAGTTGGG